GTGAGAAATAGCTTATTTCTAGTTGATAATGTAGTGATGCTTCACAACATTATCAATTAGAAATAACCTATTTCTTACTAAAGCAGTTTGTGTCTATATAATCATGAAGATAGTTGGCTGTTTCATACATCATGGACTGTGGTTTACAATTTAGCAAGGAAATGGTTTCCTGTTTAAAACCAAGCTATTCCTGTATGAGAATTTATGGAACCAACATTATGACTTCATCGTCTATTTTGCAAAAATTAAATATTTTAAAAGCACCAGTCTAGCCAGAAATGAGACTAGGAACTCTGAATTTCTGATACTATCTCATCAATTAAAATTTCTTAAGTGGAATTGTAGAATAGAAAGAAAAATATGCACATTTTCATATGAAGTGAAACAAGTAATAAGAGATAAGAGGGATAAAAATTACTGAAATAAAAACAGAACATCAGAATGATAAACATTACAAAAAGAACAATTTTAGGACATTGCAGTCTGAGGTCATGTATTTTTTTTTTTTTAAGTGCGGATAATTCTTAATTTGCTTTAATAATGATGGCTCAGGAATTATGCTCCTGCAAACATAATTTGTTTCCTCAGAAGTTACCTTCCCAATAAAATCAAACTAATTCATAAATTCTATTTGCTGACACTTTCAACAGAGCTATAAATCTTACCTTTAATTTAGATTGTTTTATATAAGTTAACCTGTCACTTCATTCTTTGTGAGAACCAATGTTGTTTATTTAGAACAAAAACTAAAACGTCACCCTCTCCACTTTATAGAGGAATAGAGGAGAATGTAAATATACTGGATAGAGCTGATATATCTAAACCCATAATCTCCAGTTATAAAAATCTCCCAAAATTTAGCTGAAAACAGCTTTCCTACAATTTCTATCAATTAATTTTAGTTCTGCCTTCTGGAGAAATTGAAAAGTTAAATGACTGTTTAATGTAGTCTAGGTTTTAAAATAAGTTCACCATTGGCTTTTCCCATTAACATTAGCACTTTTTCATTTCTTGTTTTTATAGCTTATTTTCCTTTTGATTAATTATGCTTGCATCCTTCTTTGCCTCGCCTCTAATTTCTTTATAAATTGGATACCTTCAAGTGGCCATAAAAATATTTTATTTTTGTGATTCTTTCTCTTTTAAAATGAAATAATAATTATTCTGATTTTGAAAATAATTGTACTGAACTTTAGAGAAATGTTTAGAGAAATTATGTTGAATTTGATAGCTTTATATCCAGTGCACATAATTGGTTTACACAGAGAATTCAATGTACTGTACTTACTTAGTCAGAAGGTAGTAAAAACTGTCCATTATTATTAAAGGGGAAAATTAAATCCAACTGTCATCTAAAGTGATGGAGTAATGAGTAACCTAATTATCCTTATATTAATTATAGCAATTGGTGTTCTAGCAACAAAAAATAGGCAATATTTCTAAATGTCTTAAATAGTTGTGGTCTAGAACAGAGATTTTACTCTAACTGACAATCTAGGCCAGGGGTATCAAATTGCCGGCCCGCAGACCGGATGCGTCATGCTGAAACTGCACCCACCCCATTGCCGGCACTGGAAAAAAAGTCACGGCATGTCACGTGACATTGCGAATTCGACACTCCTGATCTAGACCAATCACTGCATGAGTATTGTTGAACTGACTGAAGGATTAGATAATTATTCACCTGATTTATACCTAAATAGAAAAATATATTAATTAAAAAAAATAGCAAGTAATTCAACACATTAGATTTCAAAAGAGGAAACTTCTCTAAAATAAGGGAATTGGCAAAAAGGAAGTTGCATGAGAAACTAAGAGAGTAAAATCTCTCTGGAATACTTGAGAGTTATTCATAACCACAATAAAGGAAGCTTAGTTATAATGTATACCACAAATCAGGAAAGTACCATGAAAGCAAAAAGTGCTCATCAGCAGTGTTAATAAACAGAAAACAAAAATGCAATTTAAATAAGGAGAACAAAAGAGAAACACACACATTAAGTAGCCCAAAAGATAAAATAGCAACAATAAAAACTGAACCACTTTTCAAGTAACATTAACACACGTTGCAACTAATCTCCAGAAGGTTGCTGAGTCATTTGCTCTTGTTGCCATGGTCAGTTGCTGCCAAGCTTCTTTGTCAGCCTTTCTTTTTTTCTGCTGTTAGTAGGGCCATTTTTCCCCAATAGCGTTACACTCAAGTAATCCTACGCAAGGGATTTTTCCTGTTTATGTAGAGGTTTTCTCTATATTTGTATCAGTTGAAGCCTCTCTAGTGCCCTTATATTTGTGATAAAATAGTGTTTAGATTGAATGCAATTAAACAATTGCTCATTTTTGTTGTTGGACACTATTAAGTGCTGGCACATTTAGGCTAAATTTTCATAGTCTGTGATACTTCTTTTTCATTTGATTTGTGCTGATGATGGAGGGAATCTGTAACAATTATTAGGAATTCAGGATACTGACAATCAATGTTTGTTGACCATCTGTATAAGAGGCCCATAATATTTCTGTATCTAATATAAACCTAAATAAGAAAATGGCAAATAGTAAATAGGTTTCAAGTTCAAAACTAGGGTGGTAATGATTGCTATATGCACAGTTCACAGTAGTAAATATTTAAGTTTCTACAACCCTGAATCCTCTAATTGTACATAACTGATTATACAGTACTTAATTTGTACTTGTATTTCAATATTTCATACATACATACATACATACATACATACATATATATATGAAACATATATATATATAATATATATCCAAATTTCTTTTTCTGACAAAGAGTTATATAATATATATATATATACACACACACACACACACATACATCTATACATACACACAAAATGTCTGCTAGTTTAAATTTATTTGTCCCCTATATAACATTGAACTTAAAGCTTTAATATCCAAAGATAAGTAGCCAATTTGCTTCTAAAACACCAGTAGTAAATTTTGATTTACTAATAATCTATAATTTTTTTCTATTACCAATAATTTGTAATTTTTTTCCTCTTATGCTTTTCAGCTTGCAAAATTTTGTGTGGTTAAAACTAAGAAATTGATGTTTAGGTAGAATTAATCTGAATGAATGAGAGGAGAGGATTGGCTCCTTATCTTTTGTATCAAATCAGAATCACACTGGTCTCCTCAATTATTGTAAAGAGGAATCTTGATCAGTCAGACAGTGACTATCCTGACAAAAATAATGTATGGAAAAAACAAATTACATTATTTTATAAGAAGTTGAATTTTCTATCATAAATAGAAAGGCTGAAAAGATAACTGTCAAACTATCTTCAGTTTGCTCCTGATCCTCTCTCTCTGAATCTTCTTCATATATTCGACAGTCCTTCTGACAATAATTCAGAATATCAGGTATTTTCCTGAGAGGGTCATTAATTACAGCTTTACATTTTTGAGATTGCTCTGAAGATCTCTGAAGAGGGATGTTATGTCTATCAAACTGATATCCACGAAGTGAGAAAGAGGTAGAGAAGGTACTTGAAGCATGATTCTAGTGGCTCTAATGAAATGCTGCCACCTGGAATTGTTGACTTGGAGTTTCCTCAATATTGTAGTTAGAGCAGGAATGTTCACCCTTGGCAACTTTAAGACTTGTGGACTTCAACTCCAGAATTCCCTAGCCAGCATGAGGAAGTCTACAAGTCTTAAAGTTACCAAAGTTGGACACTTCTTCAGTAGAGTATTTCTGGCAGTTGAACACAGGGCAGGAGCCTGCTTAGATTTTTGATAAGATTCTTATTTGCTATCTCTTCAGCACCAGCAGATATTGTGCTACAGGTAGTCCTCGACATACAACCGCAATTGAGCCCAAAAACTTCTGTTGCTAAGTGAGACATTTATTGAGTTTTGCCCCATTTTACACCTTTCTTACCATAGTTGTTAAGTGAGTGACTGTAGTTAAATTAGTAACACGGTTGCTAAGTGAATCCGGCTTCCCCATTCACTTTGCTTGTCAGAAGGTTGCAAAAAATGATCACATGACCCCAGGAGACAGCAACAGTCGTAAATAGGAGTCACTTGCCAAGCATCTAAATTCTGATCACATGACCATGGGGATGCTTCAATGGTCATATGTGTGAAAAATGGACATAAATCACTTTTTTCACTGTTGTAAGTTTGAACAGTCACTAAACAAACTGTTGTAAGTCAAGAATTACCTGTATTATATTGGTTATAGATAATCTCCTAAATGGGTATTAGGTTCTCATGCAAATATCCTTTACATGAAATGAAAGTCATTGTTCCACTGGACCTGGCCTAGAATCCGGCAGCTGGGCTTAATTTGATTGGGATTTACTGGTAGGGAATCCACCACTTATGAATATTTTAAATAATTCTTGGGTGATCCAGTGTAGGAAAAATAGCAAAAGAATTGATGAAGCTTTCATCATCAGAGAATTCTGCTCTTCCTCTCTCTATATGCTGCAAGGAATGCTGGCCTTGTAGAAGTTGATAAGTTTTCTTTTTCCTTGGCTGCTTTTGGATGTTGACAATTTTTTTGTTAATTATCTTGTACAGCAGCTGTGACTGAACTGTTATGTCTAGATGCTGGTCCTTCAGAATATTATAGAAATAAAATGAAAAGGATCTGATTACTGACATTATTCGGATGCTTACACAGAACATCACCAACATTAATACCATCAAAGAGATTTCAGGTTTTTTAAAGACTAGGAGGGTTCTTACATATGCTGGGTATGAAGGCATTCAGTCACTACTCATTAAATTGATAGATTGGATTTGGCAGCACAATAATAGGAACAAGGAAATCAGTATAGCTCTAAAGAAGCTTCATATTCCCTGTTCAAGTTATTTTGCAGAGGATGAACATTTAATTTATTGAAGCCATTGGATAGCTTTAAGAGATCTAACATGGGGAAAACCATTTGATGTTATCTGTATTTTTTCCCTGCTGTTTCTTTTTCAGTTGTAATAGTTTGGGTTTTTCTGTCTTTCTTTCTGTCTAGGTCAGGAAGATCCCAACAGCTTGCGGTATAAATACAATTTTATCGCAGATGTGGTGGAGAAGATAGCACCAGCTGTGGTTCATATAGAATTGTTTCGCAGGTAAACAAGATATTCAAACTGCATTGCTGGTCCTCCTGATTATATGGATTTTAAAAATAACGTTATTTTGAATTAACATTTTATGATGCTCTTAAATACTGTTCAGTTTTTGGAAAAAAAATGTACTGATCTGTGTCTATGTCGATTCTCAATCATCCAGGTCAGGGATAGGCAACCTTGGCTCTTTTATGACTCGTGGACTTCAACTCCCAGAATTCCTGAGCCAGCTATGCTGGGAGTTGAAGTACACAAGTCATAAAAGAGGCAAGGTTGCCTACCCCTGATCCAGGTCATGGTTGTCCAAAAGCTGCTTTTGAACTGAAGAACTGAAGAAGCTTCTAGGATGAGAAGCAAAATGTCGTCACGGAAAAACAAAGTCCAGTTGCTTTTTGAAAAATCACCTTTGAGACATACTGATCTGTGGGCTTTGAAAATGCTGAATATATAAATAATGACGGAACTTGGCAGAATAGTGTACAAATATCAAAGATTCAGATGGTTGTTTTCATCTTCAGAAATTAATTTACTTTTTGATATTGGCATTGTCTTTTAGATTGCCTTTTACAAAGAGGGAAGTTCCTGCTGCCAGTGGCTCAGGATTCATTGTTTCTGAAGATGGGCTGATTGTTACAAATGCTCATGTGGTTACTAATAAGAACAGAGTGAAAGTGGAGTTGAAGAATGGTGTGACCTATGACGCTAAAATTAAAGATATCGATGAGAAAGCAGATATTGCACTAATAAAAATTGATACTCAGGTGAGTTTATATTAAGCAAAATATTTCAGGTGCATCTATTATCTGGAGAATAACCACATATTCTTGTCAAAAATAATACTAATAAAGTAGTTCCTTTCCTATGTATCTGTAGTCATATCCCCTTATCAAAAAACAGCAAATATGCAAATAAATTCAAAAACCAAATATTTAGGCTTTTCTTATCTGTTTTTTCCCATCTAGAGCAGGAATAGTTTAAGGAGTTAGAAAAACACGCAATTGCTTTCCTGATATTAATTCAGTCTTGCCATTGACGTATTGACTAAAATGTAAATCATTTTACATGCTAAAATATTTAATTAAAAGTCTGCTACTCCCTGATACATTGTATTTTACAAGCAGAACAAACAAATATTACGCATCTGATAAATTAAGGAGTTATTACTGTACAGAACTATAATAGGAAATAGTTGAAGAGTGGACCACGGGCCAGAAAGAAATACAGACAGTAGTCCTTATGGTTATACATTCCTTATTTCGGATTTGAAGACGTTCTTACAGAATGCTCTTCAGTCTATATGTCAGAAGGAATTCTGGTAGATCAGGAGATTATTTCTCTGAGACAAGGCAAGCAGAACACTATATTGTGACTTTTTAATATGGGGCCATCTAAAATATAAAAGATACTTTATATCCCTACAGTGACTGTCCCTTTTGTTCTTTGATGCAAGAGTCCAGTAGGAGTACAGACTGTTGCTATGCAAATATGTCTTAAGTCTACAATTTGACCTTGAGAAGCAGAATGCATAATTAAATATATATATAAAACTCAGTTGTTTTGAAAATCATATTCTGGCACAGGTTTAATAGCTGTCTGAAATGTAATATTTGTGTTTCTTCTAGAGTGTTCTGGTTTTCATGTGGCTTGTCATTAAATTCATGAGATTTCAGGGCTTTCTAATGCGTTGCTAGTGTGCATGAGTTTAGCTTATTTGAAAAGAGGAACTGCTTTTTTCCACGCTACTACATATTTCAGGAAATGGAACACACAGGTCCACGAATATTTATTCCAGAATTTCAGATCTTGAAGGGATATTCAGTAACTGTTAAACAGGTCAATCATTATTATATAAGGTGAATAACATTTTAGATACATGGCATAAACTTACATGCCATAAACATACATGCAGAAGAATTTTCATTGGGAAATACACAGATTGAAATAAAAAATTCAGAGAATTTGATAATATTTTGATGTTATTCATTATTGTATGCCTATACAAAAGTAACAAAGTTATCATTATCCCAAAATAAGCAGAATAATAAGCTTTAATCTCTGTTTCTCTGATTTGGACACAAGTTTCATAGATTCTCCTAGCTTGTTTCAATTTGGCTTCAGTTGTTTACAATATAAAGAAGTGGCTTAAGCACTGCTGAAAACACATACATTTGGATACAATCATTTGTATTTGATTTGCATTTTCTTGCATTTTCCAGAATGTGTAGAGCAGGGTGTCACAAAAAAAAGATCTATTGCAATGTACTGGAATTCTTGAGAAACTATTACAGTGTAAGAATAGACGAAAATAGAGAGAGAAATGTTCCTAGATCAGTGACGGCGAACCTTTTAGAGACTGAGTGCCCAAACTGCAACCCAAAACCCACTTATGCATCGTCGAATGCTGGGTGGGTGTGGCCCATTGGCTGGGTGTGGTCCTTTGGATGGAAATGGCCCATTGGGTGGGCGTGACTGCAGTGGTAACGGCAGACTGGGTGGGACTAAAAAGTTCAATCAATCAATTCCAACTTTGCAAGATCTTTTTTTTTCCCCGAGAGAAATTGAAATTGACTGATTGAACCTTTTTTTTTTTTTTTTGCACACGGCGGTGGAGACCTGAAGCAAAAAGATTTTATAAAACCCAGCTGAAGGCCTAAGACTGGGGCGATGGCATGCATGCCCACAGAGAGGGCTCTGAGTGCCGTCTCTGGCACCCGTGCCATAAGTTCGCCACCACTGTCCTAGATGTATATGCAGATTTTCAGTCATCCAGGTCATAGTTATCCCAAAGGTGTTTTTTCACAAGGCAACTGGACTTTCTTGTTTTTCTTTTTCTTTGAAGATGTTTCACTTCTCATCCAAGAAATTTCTTCAGCTCTGACTGGATGGTGGGGAATGGAAGGATTTATACTCCTTGCAGACAGCTGGTCATTTGTATTCTTTTAGACGAGCCACCTGGAGATTTATCTGTGTCCTCAGGGTCACTTGAATACAGTGTACACCTGTGAAAAAGCACCTTTGGGTTGTCTTCCTAGCCACTTTAAAAAAATTAATCAGTTAATCTATTATATGATATAGTATTTGTTGGACTAAAAATATTCCCAGGATGGGCATAAGGGCATCAAAACATCCTGAACTACAGACTTCAGCCTGGAAATCTAGTTCCTCCCGAATCAGCAGTCTGGGAATCCACCACACAAAATGAGAAATAACCTCTATGATTCAAGCAAAAACGGTGATTAGCAAAGGACTGGATGGTATACCAGCATAATTCCTAATACATTCTTGCTCTATGTCACAAAATACAATTGCTCAACACTGGTACTTGAAAGAGAGGGAGAGGACAGATTAGGGCAGGAGTAGACAAACATTTGGACCCAATGTGAATCAAAGTGATAAGTTATCACTGGGTGAATTCATCCCACTCCCCTCTGGCCACATATTTGTTATACCATGTGACCATTCTAGAAAAACCCTGGTCTCCACTGACATTCAGACAATAGGAACTTCCTGCAGATATTTGCACCCTTGGCATGAAGGTTTGCAGGGGGGAAAAAAGTCTCACATGCACAACTGTTTCAGTGTATACAGGCAGAAAGCCAATGAAGCTTGACTAGAAAGCTCACATGGACAGTGAACATTCTGCTTTCAGTAATGCCTGAATGAAATTACAGTGAAAACCTTTTCCAGCTATGCAGAGATCAAAAGGGACGATTATTTTACTGACTCTGATAGATATTGTAAGACTGAGTTTTGGCAAAAATGAAGAGAGGAAATAAGTTGATAGACACATACAGTAGCTGAGTCCAGCAATTTCCTTTTAAGCATTGTTTCCTGAATTATTTGACACATTGTTTCTGGAAACAGAGAAATAATGTGCTGCAGGAAACTCCTCATTCTAGCTAATACAAACTAAATTATATATAGTCACATTATTCTTTTTAAGGTATTCTTATGTCTTAGTTAGAATATGAATACCGTATGGTTTTAAAACCTTTTAATTTTATAAAGGGTATATAAATGCTTTGTTTGGGGAATAGTTCAATAAGCAGTTCCTTATAAAGGCCATATTCCTCCATTTTTTAATAGAAATATTAGAAAAATTAAATATGATTGAATAGTAAAATGAAGATTTCCACATGTAAAAAAGGAGTTGCTTACTGTTTTATACTGTTTTAATTTTTTCTGAAGTTAGTACTCTTCTTTTTAGTGAATTAAAATTATTTGCAATAGCAGTTTGACTAGCTGTATGATGAAACATTGTCTTTTTATAATTTTCCATAACTGAAGTATTTTAATATGCTCGAATAGTTGTTGAATATATCACTTAACATTTTTTTTCTGAAGCATATTTTCCATCATCCTTCAGATAATGCATATGGGAGAATAGGAAATATCTAGATCAAAATGTGTGAAGACTTGCTGTAAGTTTCCATAATACTGACATTTCAAAAACAGTTATGCTCTTATAACCCCATCTTTAACTGAATAGGATGCTTTAAAAAAACAGAAAAAGAAATTAAATAAAGAACTGAGCTACAGGCTGCAGTGGAATGAACTAGTTTCTGATTATTAATTTGTTTTTTCCTTGTAAAAGTTTTTAGCATAAGTTAGAAACAGATTTCTTTGGACTTTCTGTAATGTTGCACTATAATATACATTGAGATAATCTGTACCATGGACTTCAGAAAGGAAGAGAAAGTATCAAATTATACCCAATTCGAATTTTTGTACTTGCATCATGATGTCACATATAACTATATTTATGGTTACATAAATATGCATTATGACATCATGATGCACATTCAATCATTCTAACCTTTCTAAGAAGCTCCTGTCTGTAATACTGGAAATGAATATATGACCTTGGAGAAAGATGGTCCTTTATAAATGCTAACTGAAGAAAGAGAGAGAGGATAGTTTTTACAAATCAGTGATAAAAGAAAATGAAGGCAGCAGCCACAGTGTACTCTTCAAGCATCACTCTTAGCAGGAACATAAGGAAGGGAGGCAAATGATCCCTTAATTCTAGTCAAATTAATAACTCTTCAGTTCAATATAAAATAATCAGTTGAGATTTCTTGGTATCTATCCATTATTTTGTAATATATGTCACTATCCACTTATTTCACAAAGAATCATACATGCCTCTTCAGTATATACCCTACTCCATTTTAAGACAGGGGTCTTCAGACTTGGCTCTTTTATGACTTTCGGCTTCAACTCCCAGAATTCCTCAGGCAGCTTGCCTGGCTGAGGAATTCTGGGAGTTGAAGTCCACAAGTCATAAAAGGGCCAAGTTTGAAGACCCCTGTTTTAAGGGAATCTTCCTCACAGGAATCAAAATATTGAGCAAAATGCTTTTTACTTTTAATCAAATATAATATTTGCATTAATGGGAATTGTACTTTAATCTAATTTTCATGCTTTGGAGCAAATAGAAAAGCTTTTCCAAAGGAAGAGCTGTTGTTTTGGATCACTAAGATTTAACTAAATCCTGATTCACACATTATACGATTTTATTTTTGGCTGTCTGCTTATTGCACCACTGTTCACATAGCTGATGGTATTGTGTTATACTGACTATGCTGTTGCTATTTTATAGAGATAGAGGTGGAATAGTGCAAAGATAACAGAGTGTCCTTGTCAGATTTCAAAGCTTAATGAAGATTTTCTGTTCCTTCAGCAAAGATCAACTGGATAAAGAACCATCATGAATGCAGCTCATAACCTCTGAATCCATTGTGGTTGATTAAAGGCCAAA